CACCCCGTTTTTCACAGTAGCCTTCTGAAACCTGTAGTGGGGTCTACCTTAAGGCTGACGCCACGTGCGCCCCCTGGGCCCCTGGTTGTTGGGGGCCAAACTCACTACAAAGTGCAGCAAATTCTTGACTCAAGATTGCACAGGGGGCGCCTCCAATACTTAATTAAATGGAAGGGCTACCTGTTGTCAGAGGCTTCCTGGGTGAAGAGTTCAAACATCCAAGCTGACCACCTTATAGCAAAATTCCATGCAGACCACCCGGGAAAGCTGGGATGGGGGGGTTCGCAGCAAAGAAGGGGATAATGATACTTATCTTGTTGTGTTTTTCCTATGGGGCAGGTTACGTCGGAGAAGTGAAGGGAGAGGGGCCAGATGTCAGCGTTCCAAATTATGATCTCTTTCAGCGCTGACATGAAATCACAGAAAGACTTGCTTTAATGCTGAGATGAACTTTCAGCTAGTTCCTGGCTCTTCAGCAGATAGCGTTACTTGGGCAACAGAGGGAGGGGGGAAATTCCTGTGAAAAGAAAGTGCATGGGATGAAGAGATGGATCTGGATGGTGGCCTATGAGACATTGGGGTTGAAGAACAGAAAGGGAGGGGTTTGGAAGGAGGTGCCAATCTTGGCTGCAACAGAGTTCAGGCATGTCGTTTTTTCTATTCTTAAATAAAAGAGATTCATTAGAGACTTTGCATTTGAGAATGAAGTTTATTTAAGATAGCAACGAAACCTGACAACCTGATACCAACGCCCATACTGGTCCAAATGGCTTATCACTTGGCTTAAGAATAAGGCCACATGGTCTGGGCTCCCATCAAATGTGGCTTGCAATGTGGGAGGGGCCCAGGTTGTTTGCGAGACCCACATCCCCAGTACCGGAGCCCATGCCTGTGGTGGCTCAGGTGTTCTACTTGCCCCAGCACCTCTCCTCTCTCCGGGACTCCTCCTCTCTGTACAGGGTCGGTCCATCACTAACCGTTGGGTTTGTTTTGCAGGAGCTGTCTCCTTCCTCTGGGGTTGGTGCTCTGCTCCCCGTACAACCTTTTCTCCCAGGGAAGACCCCTGGTCCCATGACACTGCATGGTCTTCCACCCAACTTGGTTCTTTCTCTCTCTGTAATTTGGGACTAGTGAGGTGGAACTGGACCTCCAAACTAGATATCCCAGTGTCCTGCCAGGACAGGCCTTGCAAAGGTTCCAGTCTCGTAGCCCACGGTTGCCAAGAGGGGGTGTCTCGGAAACTAGCCTCCCAAAAGTGGTCCCGAATGGTGTCCATGGTGCTAGGACTTGTAGTAGCATAGCCCCACTCCCCCTCTTCTTTGTCCGTCCAGCATCTCTCCCTCCATCCCTGGAAAGATGGCTCTACAGGAGGGGGGGTTGGCAACTTTGGTCCAGCGAAGGTGGAGCTATGCCACCACTCCCCAGCAGATGACTGTCCAGAGTGGCCCCTCTGCATCTGGGCACCCTCCTCCTCTTGACAAGCCTCAACTCGAGTCTGCCGTATCTTCAGCCGCACCGCTGGTTGTGCTGTGGTTTCCTGCTGCGTCTCCTCCTCTACGAGCACCTCCTCCATAGCAGCATCGATCACCAGCTCCCTCTCAAGCGCCCCGGCACTGTCCCCTCTGCCATGCTCCAAGCCTTCAGCCAATGAGACTAGTGACGCAACAGGAACAGATGAAGGTAGAGTAGAGGGTAGCGCTGACTTTCGCTCGGCTCTATCTCCCATCCGGTCCATGTAGCGACAACAAGAACCATAAACCAAAGAAGGTTTGCAATGTTTTAATTTGGTCTATGCAGCAACTCAGCCAGAAGTACAGAATAAGCCGGAACCCGGGGTTAAAGTCAGCGCTACACGCAGTCACCATGCAGCGCTATTTAAATGCTCCACACCTTACAAACTAGCATCTGGCGTATAACCCACAACCCCCCCATCAGCTGTTTGGCAGTTTTGTTGATCCCGGCCGTCAATGCTGTCAGTACTTTCCTGACATCATAAGGTGGCGCCGACGACTCGGTTCCTGAGGGAAGTGCTGAGCTCACCAAGGCTGTATGCTGCTTATTGCTGGACCATGCCATCAACCACATAGAGCTTCCTCCACTGTCCCAGATGTACAGACAGTCATCACCAGGGCTCTGACTTCCCCAGCCCCCCAGCGATGGCGAGACCCAGCTGGGGCTCGACAATAAGATGTGCTGTCCCCACATTGGCCTACTGACTGTAGTATAGAAATCCTTATGGGGGTGAAGCTCCCTAAACCAAAAATATACCCCATGAGTCCCTACGAGCTGGGGGGAGCTACAAGACTGTATTGATAAAAACCTAAAATGCAGCTTCATCCAACCGGCTAGGCCATGAATAGCCACCCCAGTGCTATTCCAGGAGAAGAAAGATGGGTCTCTCCATCTGTGCGTTGACTATAAGAATTTAAACACCATTTGTGTGGAAAATGTCTACCCCCTACCCCTCATGAAAGACATGCTAGCCCACCTGGTCAAGGGGAAGATTGCTTCTAAATTGGATTTACAGGAGGCTTATTATAGAGTTTGGATTAAGGAAGGTGACAAATGGAAAACAGCCTTCAATTGCCCACTGGGATATTTCCAGTTTAGGGTGCTCCCTTTCGGATTACAAGGGCCCCCCGCAGTATTTATGCAACTGATCAATGAAGTGCTGCATGAGCACCTCTACAAGGGGGTCCTGATCTACCTAAATGACATTCTTATTTACATAGAAACCATGGACGACCACGTAAAGCTGGTGAGAGCTGTCCTGAAAAAACTTAGAGCTGCTGAGCTGTATGCTAAATTGTCAAAATGTGAATTCCACCAGACTAAAATTGACTATTTGGGGTATCACATCTCACATGAGGGGATAGAAATGGACCCAGAGAAAGTTTGGGCAGTCCTGGAATGGGAGCCTCCACGTACCCGCAAACAACTACAAGTTTCCTGGGATTTGCTAACTTCTATTGACAGTTTATCCCCTTGTTCATGAAGATTGCCTTACCGATTACTAACTTCCTGAAAACAAAGGGTGAAGTGAAGCCAAAACCTTCCTGGCCTCTCGAGTGGACTATGAAATGTCAGGCAGATTTTGAAAAACTGAAATGATTGTTTGCTGATGATCTGGTCCTTAAACACCCTGACATGGAGGCCCTGTTTGTCGTCCAGGCCAACGCCAATGATGTGGCCATTGGGGCAGTGTTACTCCAAGCCAATGCTGAGGGAAATCTACAACCCTGTGCCTATACATCTCAGATATTATCTGAAACTGAGAGGATCTGGGAGAAGGAGGCTTTTGCTGTTCATTGGGTGCTACTAACATAGAGGCACTTCCTGGAAGGAGCAAAGCACCCTTTTGAGGTGTGGACTGATCACAAAAACTTAGAAGCCCTAAAGACGCCCCGGAAATTGTCACCCAAGGAAGTCCGCTGGGCCCAAACTTTAACTGCTTTAATTTCTCTCTACGCTACTTTCCTGGGGGGAAGAACTTTATGGCAGATGTTCTCTTGAGACTACCTCAATACAATAGTGCTTGGGCAGAAGTGGTTTGCCCAGTTGTCCCTTCAAAACAGCTGGTGGCTCCAGTAGTTACCAGAGCCCAGGTGAAAGGGGACCTAACCTTGTCTGGCGACTTGAGTGAGCAGTTAAAAAAAGCCTTGAAAACTTATGAGTGGTTTTTAGCCCACTCCAATGAGTATACACTTTGTGAGGGTCTCGCCTGGGGGGAGTGAAGCTGTATGTTCCCACCCACCTGAGGTGTTACAACATGCCCATGATGCTAAAATCACTGGGCATTTTGGATTCATAAAGACATTGCATTTAGTTAAATGACAATTCTGGTGGCTGGCTCTAAAGAAAGACATAGAAGCCTACGTGGCGAGCTGCCCTGTATGTGCATCAGTGAAGAAACTGCCTGGGAAACCCCCTGGGTTACTTCAGAGTTTAGCCAGACCAGGAACCCCATGGAAGGAGATATCCTTCGGCTAAAACTCTGGCTAAACTGTTTGTCCAGCATGTGTATAGATTACATGGAGTTCCGGAGTGAATAATCTTGGACAGAGGGGTTCAGTTCACCTCCCACTTCTGGAAGGAGTTCCAGGGGTTGTTAGGCTCCGCCCAAGGGTTAAGCTCCACCCACCATCCTCAGACCAATGGGGCTTGTGAAAGAACTAACTCGGTATTGGAACAATACCTTAGATGTTACATAAATTATCAGCAAGATAACTGGGTGGACCTGTTGCCTTTTGCAGAGGTCGCCTATAATAACTCTATACACAGCAGTACTGGTTTTACCCCGTTCAAGGTGGTCTCGGGTCAAGACTTTGTACCATCCCAGTTGCCTCAGGACAAACCACAAATACCTTCATTGGCTGATTGGATTGAACAGCTATGCGGTACCTGGACTGTAACACGTAAGGCCCTGGATGAGGCTCACCTCATCCCATCACCGAGCCCATAAGACACAACCTGATAAGAAAAGAATCCGGGGTAGGGATTACAAAGTAGGAGATAGAGTTTTCCTTTCCACCAAGTACCTGCAAACTACCCAAAAGTCAAAAAAACTTGGGCCTAAATATGTGGGTCCTTTTCCTATTGTACACATTGTAAACCCAGTTACAGTGCAGTTAGAATTACCTAAAACCTTGCGGAGGATTCATCCTGTGCTTCATGTTAGTTTATTGAAACCTGAGCACATGTCCCCCCTGCGTCCAGACCAAGAACCTCCTCCTGTCCCCATACTCATCGAAGGAAAACAGCATTTTGAGATTAAGGAGATATTGGCTTTGAGGAAACATTGAGGGAAGGTGCAGTACTTGGTGGCTTGGAAACATTTCCCATCAGCTCAATCTGAATGGGTAAATGAGTGAGATGTTAGAGCTCTGAGGCAGCTGCAATTGTTTCATTCCAAATATCCTGATAAACTGTAGTTATGAGGCTGTACATATGTTACCAGTTTATGTGATTTTCTGTTTCCCTTTATTCTGTTCTCTTTCTAGGACTAACATCTCTTCTGCAGGAGGGCCGAATGTCAGCTTCCCCTTTGATATTGCTTGCTTGCTACGGTTGCAAGCAATGGGGGGAAGGGGGAACTGTCTTGGTAGTTGAATGATGGGAAGCGAGCTGGTGAAGATGTCTCGTAACAGGGAGTGAATTTCCCTCAGCGCTTTCTCTGCAGCTAGGAGGTGTGGTGATAACCAGTCAAGGTCAACCGTCCTGGCATACCAGAAGGATGGAGACATCGGAAGCTGTACCCCACATGACACCTTGTGGGGAATGCGGATTGGTCAATCCTGACTGGTCCCTTGGGGGGAGGGTTTTGGGGATGCTTTCTGTATGTGATTTTCACACCTATTGCCTCAGACCTTGTTTTTCTTTGGTTGCATTCAGTTCATACTGTCAGATCCCGAAAAGTGATACTGTCATTCAATTGGAGGAAGGGGTAGACTTGGATTCAATTTGGCCTGTGTCAACAGATATTTTACAACATATATATACATATATACATATATACATATATACATATATACATATATACATATATACATATATACATATATACATATATACATACACATACACATACACATACACACACACACACACACACACACACACACACACACACACACACACACACATATATATATATGTAGGTCTTTGGTTATTCGGGTCTTCTCCCACATAAAATTGGAAGTGTCTTGGCGACGTTTCGACGAAGTCTCATTCGTCATCTTCAGGCTGGTGTTCTCGGCTTCGTGCTTCCAGGAGCAAAGAAGCCGAGAACACCAGCCTGAAGATGACGAATGAGACTTCGTCGAAACGTCGCCAAGACACAAGTTTCTGGGCTTTTTGTTTCTTGCTAACAGACAGCAAAGTCTGCTGCCCTTTGGGAGACTCAGATAGCTATTTCTGCCTTTTAAGGCGTCATCAGTGAGCCACACCCTCTTCTCAGGTATCCTCCCTGTAAAGGTACAATGTTTCTTTTTCTTTCTTTTTCGTAGGCTTTTATGTGCATATTCTTTCTAGCCAGGTTTTACCTACGTAAGCTTTGATCTTATGCAGCCCTGGTTCTGTGAAATCTCATTCACAAGTTTCTGGGCTTTTTGTTTCTTGCTAACAGACAGCAAAGTCTGCTGCCCTTTGGGAGACTCAGATAGCTATTTCTGCCTTTTAAGGCATCATCAGTGAGCCACACCCTCTTCTCAGGTATCCTCCCTGTAAAGGTACAATGTTTCTTTTTCTTTCTTTTTCGTAGGCTTTTATGTGCATATTCTTTCTAGCCAGGTTTTACCTACGTAAGCTTTGATGTTATAAAAGCCTACGAAAAAGAAAGAAAAAGAAACATTGTACCTTTACAGGGAGGATACCTGAGAAGAGGGTGTGGCTCACTGATGATGCCTTAAAAGGCAGAAATAGCTATCTGAGTCTCCCAAAGGGCAGCAGACTTTGCTGTCTGTTAGCAAGAAACAAAAAGCCCAGAAACTTGTGAATGAGATTTCACAGAACCAGGGCTGCATAAGATCAAAGCTTACGTAGGTAAAACCTGGCTAGAAAGAATATGCATATATATATATATATTTTCTTACTTCTTCGTAGGGTTTATGTGTGTTTTTCTTCTAGCCAGGTTTTCCCTATGTAGCCAAGGTTTTTTTTGTAGCTCCAGCTCAGTAGAATCACATCTACTCGGTTCTGGGCTTTTTTCCTTTCTAACACCTAGGAAGCTCTAACTGCTTAGAATTAGAGCTTGCTAGGTGTTAGAAAGGAAAAAAGCCCAGAATCGAGTTGATGGAGCTACAAAAAAAAAACCTTGGCTACGTAGGGAAAACCTGGCTAGAAGAAAAACATACACACACACACACACACACACACACACACACACACACACATATATACACATACACATACATACACACACACACACACACACACACATATATATATTTGATTTATATGTCGCCCTTCTCCGGAGACTCAGGGCAGCTTATCCTGGCACCAAAGAGGCCTGAGATTCCCTTTACCTGGAGGAATTTATATGATAGCCATGTGTGTTGCCTCACTTTAAAGTATAATGGTGGGTTCTCAGAGGAAATAGTAAACAGCTTCAAACGTGTATTGGCTAAAATCTGCATTCTGATTTAAAGGGAGGGGTCTCTACTGCTTTAATCCTACTTGTCTTGCCTAAGGATATTCAGATCGTGCTTTAGCTGGATGGCTTTCACTTCTGCTTAATAAAAGAATCCTTTTGAACAACCACGTTTCAAGAGTTCGTACTTTCTTAAGTTGGAAGGAGAGGCAATCCTTACAGAAAGCAAGATCTGCAAAATGGTCAACACAGAGAAGCAATCTTTGCTCTATGGAGGGGACCTTGCAAATCATGTCTGGACAAAGCAGAGAGAGGGAGAAACTGATTGCTGGGGACAGACAGCAACCGCCACCCAGTTCGGATACCTGTTTCGTCCACCCCATCAGAGAGGATGAGGTAACCCTGGAGAATCCTGAAAAGCCCCGCTGGTCAATTGGCATCGGGAAGAAAGATGGCTGGGATGAGAGAACCAGAGGAATCACCCTCAACCGTGGCAACCAAAAACCGGGGTGGAAACTGGAAATAGAAGCCCTTGCTAACCAGGGTGGACTGACCGAAGCACCACTGAGGGAGGACTATCTGAAGAGGCATATAATCCAATTGGTGATGGAAACTTTGGAAAATCTGAACATCCGAAGGGAGCCAGGACAACAACCAAAGAGTGCTGAAAGGGCAGCAGTTGCGGATGATGCCACGGGAGGCACCCCCCGTTCTGGAGCCTGCCTATCGAGCAGGGGGTGCAGCAGCAGTGGGAGAAGACCCAGCAAACCCTCCCCCCCAGGCAGCACGAACACCGGCACCCATTCTCAACCAGCCCCGGGCCCCGCAACTGGAAAGAGAAACTCTCCCCCTTGGGGTGAAGTGTTCTGTCCCTGTACCAAGCACACACCCAACCAGCCAGCCGAGGGTTAAATAAACTTTTCAAACACACAACGTCAGTGATAAGGAACTTGGCAGCAACTCCGTGGCTGCCTGCCAAGGGCTTTTACTCCAATAACACAGACAAAAATACACACAGTTCGTAATTGAATCCACAGCAAAATAGGTGTTCTGTCCGAAGGTGCAAAGTGCTTCGCCAGAGATTAGCTTTGTCCGTCACAGAGTTGGAATGGCCACCACACTCCCTTTTATAGCCTGTGGGGTGTGGTCCAGTGACTCAGCTAATCTCTGGCACGCCTTCCCTTCTGCTGCGCACGCTTCTCCCTGTGCCTCTGGCGAGGGTCCAGCCAGCACTTATTTTCCTCGTCGCTGTCCACCTGTGGCTGCGGGGACGTGCTTGGCTCTGAGCCTATCATTTGGCCTTCGGTGTCCTCTGGAGGCATTGCCAGAGAGGAGGGTCCTGGAGAGGGAGGACTGGCCATCTCCTCTCCTTCATTTTGGGAGCCTTCTTCCTCCGATAAGATAGGCTCGGAGGACGGAGCCACAACACTATCCCCCACCGCAGGACCCTTCCCCCGGGTCTGACAGTCGGAATGTGGTCGGGACGGGAACTGATCATGAAAGGCCCGTACCAGGTCAGGGGCCTGAACGAAAGAAGCGTCCACCCAGCTGAAATCCTCGGGCCCATACCCCTTCCAGGCGATGAGGTATTGGAAGCGCCCCTTCAGCCAACGGGAGTCCCGGATGCTGTCCACCTCGTATGTTGAGGTGTCATCTTCATTGGCTGCAGCTGGGGGGGGCAGGCATTGTCGGGCATCGGAGATGGCTCGCTGGGGCTTCAGGGACCAGGAGGGACCGATGGAAAACAGGGTGGAGTCGCATAGAGTGTGGCAGAGTCAACTGGTAGGCCACCGAGTTGATGACCGCCTCGACTGGGAAGGGACCAATAAAACGGTGGTCGAGCTTCTTTACCGGCCGGTCCGTGGGGAGGTGTTTCGTGGACAGCCATACCCAGTCTCCCACTTCCAGCGGTGGCATCGCCCATCGAGAGTGGTCGGCAACTCGCTTGTAGTCCTCCTTTGCCCGGATCAGCTGCCGCCGCACCAGCTGATGCACTGCTTGCAGTTCCAAGAGGAAGTCCTGGGGCTTGGGAACAGGGGAGTCCGAGATGGCCAGTGGGAAAAACCGTGGGTGGTATCCTGCATTGGCATGGAACGGGGTCATCTGGGTGGAGGTGTGTTGGGAGTTGTTAAAGGCGAACTCCGCCAGGGGAAGGTACTCGGCCCAGTTGTCCTGCTGCTGGTTGACGAAACAGCGGAGGTACTGTTCAAGGATGCCGATGACCTTCTCCATTCCCCCGTCAGTCTCCGGATGGTGCGACGATGACAGGCACACCTGCACCTCCAACGCGGCCATCAGGCTTTGTCAGAAGCGGGCCGTGAATTGGGCCCCACGGTCTGAAACCACCCGGTCCGGCAGGCCGTGGAGGCGGAAGATGTGTTGCAAGAACAGGCGGGCTGTGGTGCAGGCTGATAGCAGTCCACAGCACGGGATAAAATGTGCCATCTTCGTGAGCGCATCCACCACCACGAGGACGGTCGTGAACGTAGCGGACAGTGGCAGGTCTGTCAGGAAGTCCATGGAGATGGCTCCCCATGGTCTCTCTGGTGTCGGCAGTGGCTGGAGGAGTCCAGGAGGTGGGCCAGAGGTGGCTTTGGCCTGTTGGCACGTCACACAGGACGTCACGTACACGTGCATGTTGTGCCATACCCGAGGCCACCAAAAAGTCCGTGTCACCAGATTCAGCGTCTTAAAGAACCCGAAATGTCCTGCCGCGGGGTTGTCATGGCACTGGTTCATGATGAGGGCTCGGAGCGGACTCGTGGGCACGTACAACCAGCCCCGGTGCTTCAACAAGCCCTCCTCCAAAGTCCATGGGGATGCGGGGACGACTTCCCCTTTCCGCTGCTGCAACCAGTCATCCCGACGCTGCGCTTCCAGAACCTGAGCCCGCAAGTCCGTCGGTTCCTGGACCGCGGAAAGGATTCCACTGGCAGCACCATCCGTGGGGGAAGGGAGTCCTTAGGGCAAAAGTACTCCGGCTTGTGGGATAGAGCATCTGCTCTCTGGTTGTGGCCGCTCGGGATATAAGTCACGTGGAAGTTGAACCGGGCGAAAAACAACGACCACCGGATCTGCCACTGGTTCAACTTCCTGGCCGTGGTGAGGTGTTCCAGGTTCCGATGGTCCGTCTGCACCTCCACCTGGTGTCGGACCCCCTCGAGGTGATGCCGCCAAGCCTCAAACTCTGCCTTGATAGCCAGCAACTCTTTTTTCCAGATGGTGTAATTGCGCTCGGAAGGATTGAGTTTCCGGGAGTAATAAGCTCAGGGAAAAAGAGTGCCACCATCCACCGGGGCCTGTAGCAGCACCGCCCCAATCGCCACATTGGACGCATCTGTCTCGACCACCAATGGACGATGTGGATTGGGGTGCCTCAGGACAGGTTCCA